GCAAGGAAACCCGTTTACTTGCTAGACTTCACTGTCAGACACTATTGAGTGACTGACTGGCTTTATTTCTTCTTTGGTAATAACATACATGAAAAGAGTTGTAAAGGGTACATGAGCATGTGTCTACATCAATAACCCACTTCTTGTGATGGCCAAGATTAAACTGATTGAATCTTTGCGCAGCATAAAACGTATGACCATTCGGTACAATTGTCTGAAAATCAAGACTATTACTTTTGGGCATGGGTGTCGATCCCGGGGGGGGGGGGGTGGGGGGATATATCCCCCCCCCCCCCCAATATTTCAGGTGGGGGGATGGCCTGTACAATCATCCCCCCCCCCCAATAATTCACCATAAAAAAAAAACCCAAAAAAAATGAAGAGAAAAATTAAGGACGAGAGCCCGATGAGAGTAGTTAATGGTTATTACTCGCAAGATGACCATCAATATACACATTTTGCTATCTTATTTTCATAATACATAAATATATACGAAGTTAAATAAGACAACCGTATATGAGACAAGAATAAATTGAATTCTCGCTCATACGGCTTCATCATGAATTGATGAATTTATTCAATTTGTTCAATCAACAGCATCATAGAAATGCCAAATGCAAAGACGCAGCGTCAAAAAGCAACGAGCTAAATGTTAAGCGCGAAGCGCAAAAATAGCAATCTGCAATGCACATCAGACAATCCTGGACAGTGTAAACATAGATGAACTCTGTGACGATTTTGTGATGAGATCGGAGACAAGGAGAAAGATTTTCGGACATTAGTATGACTTATAAAATAGTTCTCTATTTGTTATGTTGTTTCCGTTCACCCTTTTTAAGATTCACGTCATTGTATCTTTTTCTTTGTTTTTTTCACTCATTTTATTTCCTGATATTTCCTAAAAGATTTTTCATTTTTGGAGAAAGACTATTATGTCACAACTTATTTGTAACACAAATTATTTTCAGTGGGGAAACTGAATTCAGACAAGGATAAATATAGAGAACAGTACAACGAATCGTCTTCTTTCTCTAATAATTCAGTGAAAAGGGCAAAGCTGTTAGGGGGCAACTAAATTCAGACGTGGATTAAGCGTAATAATCAAATGAAACGTCAAAGTACACGATACAACGAAACGTCTTCTTTTACGAATAATTTAATGAAACGTGAAAGCTTCCGCGCTAAGCGCGGAATGGGCGAAAATGAATACAGACAAGGATTAAGAGTAATAATTTATTGAAACGTTAAAGCTTCCGCGCGGTAGGGAGGAAACTGAGTTCATGAAGGACACGATACAACAAATCGTCTTCTTTCACTAATGTGAAAGCTTCCGCGCTTCGCGCAGGAATGGGCGAAAATGAATTCAGACAAGGATTAAGAGTCGAGAATGGTACATAGGATCGTCTTCTATCTTTAATCATCTAATGAAACATCAGAGCTTCCGCGCTACGCGCGGGGAAAGGGGAATTTGATTCAAACATTAAGGATTAAGAGTTGAGAATGGTACATCGAATCGTCTTCTGTCTTTAATAATCTAATGAAACGTCAGAGCTTCCACGCTACGCACGGAGGAAGGGGAACGTGATTCAAACAAGGATTAAGAGTCGAGAACGGTCCAACGAATCGTCTTCTTTCTCTAATAATTTAGTGAAACGTCAAAGCTTCCGCGCTTCGCGGGGGGACTCCCCCTCCCTGCACGCAACCCCCTAGGGACCGCGCTTCGCGTGCTCACTACCGCCCCCTAAAATGAAATCCTGGCTACGCGCTTGGGAGGGGTGCAACTTGCCACTCGCTTCTACCTCTTGATTGCTTTGATCCATTGCCGAAAATATTTTGGCACCTATCATCCCCCCCCCCCCCCCCCAACCACGGAAACAAATCGACACCCTTGCTTTTGGGCTCTATAGCCCTAAAGTCGATTTGACAACTAATATTTGTTGTTTTCCCACTTGAAGACATTTTCAAGCCCCACCTTTTTTAGGGAAGTTCTAAATTAGTATTATCTTTCAAATGCAGTTGGAATTTAACTTTTTCATTTTTTTGACCTGCAAATGGGACATAATACCTTTAAATACACTGTTGGTCATAATGATGGAATATTTATTTTTACCCCAGTTTAGGGAAGGATTTTAAAAAATTATTTATTTCTAATATATCTAGATAATGGCATACATTCTCAGATTTTATTGAATATCAATTTGCGAGTGTTTGTTTTGCGTGACTGCTTAATCATATGTGTGCTACTATGCTAATCAGCTAAGGGACCTACGTCCTTAAGTCATAATTGACAGTAATGAGGATTAATGCCTCACAAAAGGGCACTAATATAAAGCTGATCGACACGATTTTTATCCTGGGGCCTGACAGTAACGAGGCCATTGCTTAGCCCCTGAATCATGACTGTACGCAGTGTTTGCTAGGGTACGCGGCCACTTCCACAAATCCCCCCAAACGAAGAAAATGCAATAAATTGTCAAAAATTCATTGCATTTTCCCCCCGGCCCCCAACAGGAAAGATGCATCTGTAGGGCCATGCATTATGGTTCAAGGCATGGCCACACAGAGGAATTTTTCCTGTTGGGGGCCGGGGGAAAATGCAATGAATTTTTGACAATTTATTGCATTTTCTTCGTTTGGGGGGATTTGTGGAAGTGGCCGCGTACCCTAGCAAACACTGCGTACAGTCATGATTCAGGGGCTAAGCAATGGCCTCGTTACTGTGAGGCCCCATGATAAAAATCGTGTCGATCAGCTATTTTTGTGCCCTTTTGTGAGGCATTAATCCTCATTACTGTCAATTATGATTTAAGGACGTAGGTTCTCTAGCTGATTAGCATAGTAGCACACATATGATTTAGCAGTCACGCAAAACAAACACTCGCAAATTAATATTCAATAAAATCTGAGAATGTATGCCATTATCTAGATCCATTAGAAATAAATAATTTTTTAAAATCCTTCCCTAAACTGGGGTAAAAATAATTATTCCACCATTATGACCAACAGTGTATGACGACATATATAATTGTATTGATGTACATAATGTAAATAAACCGACTTATAATTATGAGTAGTTACAAAAAGGAAAGAAAGAATCAACCAACAAAAAATTAATATTAACAGCGCCATCTTTATATCAACAAAAACAACAAAATACAACTAATTTCCTTGACCACACAACAACGACTGCTAACTGCGCATAGGACACCAATTTCAAATAACAGCACATCAACATAAACCTTACCTTGGTAGGTGACAGAAGGCTAGGAATGGGCCATTCTGATCAGTACCCGATGCACGAGGGGAGTGAGGTTCAGATATATATATACATGTATATATAATGAAATAGGATAGAGAAAAGTCTGCGAAATAAAATGAAGGACCTATGTCGTGCTTTCGACGGGCTTGGTGTGGAACCGAAGTAATGATCCGAGAATCGAGTCCGAAAATAGACGAAGTCAGTCACATTTGTCCGCCTTTTCCAAGGAGAGACACCAGTTCAATTTTGTTTTTAGTCAATGTCACAATGGTGCTAAATACAGGTCTTCCGCCCTCTCTCGATAAGCCGATGAAACCATATGTTGTTAGTATTCATTTTAGTTTTAGTTTCGGTCAATTGTTTAAATTGTTGTTAGCCCATGGAAATATGTATTGATTTTTCTGACATTAAAGTCTGTTATTTATGATGCTTATGAAAAAAAGAAACCCGTAAAACTGACCCAATTTTAGTAAGAAAAAAAAAATCTACATTTTCGTCACTAGCATTGATTTGACGGCTCAGAAAAATTTAGTTTCAAGTTATGAAAATGTTGGCCTATATAGGTGACACTTCTCGCTTTTGCTTTAATACATCGAGTCGGGGTTTCAAGGTCGAGGGGAAAAGACCCCCCCCACACACACACACACACACACATTCTCACATCAGGGCCTTTGTGGGGCACCTGATTGTGGGGTATTTCTGTGCGTTCCAGATATACCTTGTGGTCCCCTACTAGTGGGGTATGTACAACCTGGCGATAACAACCCGGCGGTGTGCTTACGATGTTACCATAAAAAAGTGTGCAAGTTTTAGCACACGCTCACAAAAAGTCATTTATGGGGTACCACTTCTAATGCCCCGCAGGGCATAGGACACCGAATATACAGTCATCTGAAAGACTTTACTCTGTGGGGTCCTGAAAAAATACCCCACAAAGTAAAAATGCCTCACAAGGGGTATGTGAAGCGCACATAAAACCCCACAAGAATGCTGAGGTGAGAGCACACACACACACACACACACACACACACGCACACATACACACCCATACACCGCGCAAACACATCAAATGTGAAATGTTCGCACCGCTACATTAAATTTTGGATTAAAAATAAATAAATCCCCAAAAAGGAAAAAGGGGGCAAAGGGATATATTTGCTGTGCAAATGAAAATTTAATCGTCTTTAGCCTTCTAAAGAGTCATCGACATATTTATGCCCCGACATTATGAGATGGTATGACGCCCAAGTAGTCAGTGTATATAATGCATTATTTTATAGATCGTGAAAATTTCCTTTTCTTTGTGTTCCTTAAATAATTATCTATATAACTATTCACATTTCTCTCATCAACTTTTTCTTCTCTATTTGTCCATCTCCTCCACGAGGTCTCTTACATTTATCTTAAAAGTTCACCTCTTGTTTTCATTCTCTCTCTCTCTCTCTCTCTCTCTTTCTCTCTTTCTCTTCAATATTTCATATTAATACACGTGTTTCTCTCTCTCTCTCTCTCTCTCTCTTTCTCTTTCTTTCCCTCTATCTCTCTCTTTCTCTCTCTCTCTCTTTCTCTCTCTTTCTCTCTCTCCCTCTCACCCACACTCTAACACCTGTCTCCAATAGCCATTCAAAAAACGCAAAGTTATTCCCTTGACACCTTGTACCTCTTAATTGAGGTTATTTAGGTCCTTTGGTACATATATCAACAAATAGATGAAATAAATCAAACTTTTAGGCAACTTCTATTTATAGTTCCATGTCCATTTATTCCACATGAAGTAGAAAAAGTCACGTGACAACATAATCAATATTAACAAATTAAAGCTTATTTATTCAATACATGTATAAATTAACACACTCTCACTCACACTTATTGATCTCACAATATTTTAAAAACAATAAATTTAGATTCACGAAGCTCCATTGAAATATGATAATACTGGTAGAAAACCGTTTGGATAAACCATGCAATGATAATGAAATTGCCATTTTTATTCTGTCTGTTTTAATTCTGACTGTTGTTTTGTATGATCATAAACACTTGCTTTAAACAAGAATAACAAACCGAAATAACGCGAAAATCACATCTAGATAAAGTATACCCTTTCTTCTTTTCCTTCAAGTTTTTCCAAAAGTTGTCTATATTCTGATCTTGTATGGGTGTTTTTCTCGTTCTATCACTATAACTTTGAACATACGAAAATATATCATTAACAAGCTACCAAGTTTTATCATGATAATGCACAACTCTGTACATTGTTTCACTGCTAGTCTACAAAATAAATTTACAAAATAAGGCACGTTTGCCGGCAAGGCATGTTGGCAATATCGCTGTTTTCCAGACAATTATGCAACAACATTAAAAAGTCAACATAAAAACTTAGAAATACAATAAACTACATCCAAAACTATTGCGTGTATTCTTCGCATCAAATAAATCACAATCTATTCCATCTCGTCTCGTATAAGTCTTGTCTATTTACAATGATGAATACATTTTCATTTGCTGATCTTCTCAAAGGTAATAAATAGATATTTACAAAGGCAAACTGTACAAAAGAACTCAGTAGTTTATTGCAAAAATAGATTCTTGCAAAGGAAAGTTATTCATGAATAGGAACGTCACTGAATTAATGGAAATGACTTTTAAAAGTTTAAATACATATCGACGGTTTACATACAACAAAAAGGTAAAATAACGCAATTACAATAGTTTGGGCAGGAACTAGGTTAATAAAGCCGAAAGTGGATTAGAAAATGGAAAATTGCGTAAACACTTCAAATATGAGGAGTGGCTACATTTCCTTTGAAATATATGATAATAGTTTGAAAGGAAAGTGAAATTCCGTAGGCATGCTGGCGACCCAGCTTTTTAAATTAGAAGGCATTATTTTAATTGTCAAGCTATTCTTTTCAAGTTATGCAATTGTTAAGTACTCGATTAGATCCCTTAATTAATACAAACATGACCATGAACAAGCGCAAGTTCCTACATAGCTTTAGTTTACGTTTTGAATCTCAGGCATTACAATTCCTCGAAACATAGTAATATGTTCTTTGGAAGTTTTATAAAAAAAATGATAACTCGATTAAACATATAGGAATATGTTTGTATACCAATTCTTGGATAAAGGATACAGCTTTTCTTTTGAGGCATCAAATATTAATACAAAAGGAAGACTGTTGGCTTTTGGTTTTTATTACATTTTTTGTGTTTGCGTCTTCAAAGTTTTTTTTTTTTTAATTCTTTATACAGATGTGGAAGGAAATCACATTTAGAATTCTCTATGGTTTATTGCTTAATTTGAGAGCAAATGGTGCATATCGTCTGAGAGCACGTTATATAATTCAAAGGCACGTATAAAGTCAACATGAATTTAAAGACACATAATGTATAATATGGGTATACTTGATATGATTTAAAGGCACGTTTGAAGGCGATGTGATTCACAAGGCACTCGATAACAAGCCACTCGATAGAATGATTTATGTTTACTCCTATCGATACACTACAATCATTTAATTCAAATTAAATGTTTACCAATATGACACTTGCTTAGAAATCCCGTCGGGTTTTCTACTTCCACATGAAGAGTACTTGCATAATCAATAAATTAACATAAATACGACATTCCATATTTTGACAGACGATAAATAAATGTTCGAAGTAGCTCTATGTGGCTCTGTAGCATGCAGATTCCACGTGCTTGTAGAGATAACTTTTGAGCGCGAAAGCTTTGTTGCACTTTTGACAGACGTACGGTTTAATGGTGGAGTGCGTCTGGACGTGTGCGCGGAGGTTGGACTTGTCGGCGAAGGCCTTTCCGCACTGGGGGCAGGAGAAGGGGCGTTCCCCTGTGTGAGTACGGATGTGCCCCTGGAGTAGCCAGGGGCGGCTGAAGCACTTTCCGCAGATGTGGCATTTGCACCCGAGCTTGTGGGTCCTGTAGAATCGAAGGAAAAGGGAGAGGAAAGAAATAACTGATTAGTTTCACTAAATCTTTGGGCTATGGCTATTAAATGTATCTGTGAAAATATTGTATTGCGATTTTAAACATCTATTGGGTAAACAAAGGATGTTCAAATGTAATTAAAGAGGCAGCAAAGTCACACCATACAAGTAGTTCCTTTTCTTTGGTAATATGCACAACTGAATTTTATTCTTTTGGTACTGAATATCAAAGTAGATGTTTTTCCAAGTTCAGTAGAAATTTAGGTTAAAAAAAAAACATATATTAGGAATTTATTAAAATTTTAGACGATAGGTTTGAATGTTCATGATGATCTTTGCAAAGCCACGTAGGCGTATTATCATGATACAGCTATTATAAACTTGTGTAAAAGATATTGAATTCTTAAATCTTTCCTGTGAAACATAGGAATTTTAATGTGGCCTATCTAAACTGAAAAGGTAAAACAAAAATCCCATGCTTACCTGATGTGCATACTGAGTGCAGGCATGGAAACATAGACCTTGTCACAATGCGGGCACTTGCGGGCCTTCTGGTCGGTCACGCTCCGGTGCGTCTGCCTGTGCCTGGCCAGGTTACTTGACGTACTGTAGCTCTTCCTACACTCAGGACACGAATGCCCAGGCATCATGGCTCCATCTAGCGGCGACATCGCCATAGGTTGCGACTCTGCCGACATCGGACTGGCGGGTTGACTGTTGTAGTGCGAGGTGGTCGTGGTGTCTAACATCGGGACGATGACCATACTCGACGGCGACGTCGCCTTGATGGGGCTGGATGGTGTGGTGGCACGGTCGTCACGGGAAGGTACAGATCCTTCAGCGGGTTGAGCGTTGCCTCCGATGGAGCCGTAGTTGAGGGTCATGTTGGCTTGGCGAATGGGTGATTGATTTAGAAGTCCACTGACATCACTAGGGTAGTAAAGAGCTCGCCTTTGGTCGTAGTATTGTTTGTCCGAGTTATCTAGCTTCTCAGCGAGTGTAGATAGAATAAAGAGACCACTATGCGAGGAGTCCATGGTCTTGAGAAGCCCTTCAGTGGACGGGATGTTGAGGGTAGTCACTTGCTGAGCCCGCTGCTTCTTCTTTTCGCCTGCAACCTCACTCCTAGGGCGCCCTCTGCGTTGCCTAGCCTTGCTGCCAACTTGCGTAGGGTTAGAGGTTGTGTGGAATTGGAAGGGTCGGTTGCGTGGTGAGGGCACTGAGACAACAGACCTCGCCGATGGAATTTGAATAACGCTGGAGTAACCATAGTAACCTGTAGATAGAGATGAGAAATAAATAAATAAACACAGTTAATCCAAACGTCAAAACTGCCAAACGAAATATCAGTAGACCCGTGTGCTATCTGCCGATAAGTAGCGGAGTTCTCTTTGTTGTCATTTTTATCCCCCACGTGGTTTTGATCAGGATTCCACCCGAACACTTTTCCAGTAGATATGAAAATACATTCTCTGAATATTATTGAAAGTAAAATGATCACCACATTCATCATGAGAGAAAAAAAGGCATTGTATGAAAACGTCTGTTTGATACTGATAAGGGGCCTTTGACATATTCGTCGGGTTGTCGAGATTTACAGCAATGACATCGTCACCCCGGTGTTACGATAAGAAAAACATAGAGGTTTCACTAAAACTCGATTGTATTTCACAGAACAGATATACAGCTTGGTGTAAACAACAAAAGAAGCTGAAAACACGGATATTTTGGTGAAATATTTAACGCTTACACTACGTGACTTTAATTGGAAAATGGCCAAAAAACGTTAGTGTTAGATAAATGACCTTCTCGGGTTGGACATTTCAAAAAGGTAATGATCCTACCTAAAGAACCGAACTTAAAACTCATTTCAAAGTATGTAGATATTAACAAGATACGGAAGGTTTACATGGAAAAATAGCTCTAGAGCTATTTTTTTCAACAAAATAATATTTAATAAGTCTTTCAAATATTGTCTGGTTTTCCCTAATTGGGCAAAAAGGACACAATCGGTCTCATTTTATTTCCATTTCGAGTGCTGTGTCAAAGTGGTAACAAATAGGCAAAAAGGTAGAGTGCAATGAAAAATGGCACAAGTCAAACTGCAGATAATCATTAATTTTATGTTTAGGTTTGGGACGTTTCGTGGGCGGCAACAGGCTGAGCAGCCAACAGGGGCAGACGGGACGAGAGTGCGCATGTTAATCAAGCTCGCGTGCCAGCTGTCAGGAGCTAGCCGCTGCACATCAATCACAAAACACCGCACCTAGAAAACAAACTCACCAGCTCCATGAACCCCGGGGTCATACGACAAAGAAAGAAAGGGCAGGCAGGCAGGGAGAGAAAGAGAGAGAGGGGAGCGAGGTAGAGTGAGAGAGCGAGAGAGAGAAGGTGAAAGAGATAAAAGCAATAACAACATCATGGCTGGAAAAAATACTCGACATTCCAACGCAGCGGAGGAGAGAAGAAAGAGAGACAGAGAGTAGAAGAAGAGACGCGTATCCTGATTGGCTGTGTCAAAGAGATAGTGGTACTCTCTCCCGGGGCACGCGCTGCGTGCGTCATGGTGCCAAGGAGTTAAGCGACCTCCCAGCCTCGTGCCGAACTGCATGTCGTCTGTCTGCCCAACCCACTAGCCACGCGACAACAAGTCTCATCTCCAGTCACTCTCAATATTTTCCCCATTTTTTCAAACGCACCGTGCATTTTTTTTCTCGATTGAACCAGGTAGGTGTTTTCACTCTCATATCCCTAATTGAAGACAAATGGCGATCCCCCGCGACACATTGATCGAAACACGAAGCTCATGATTTGATTAAACATAAAGGAATGTGGACAACTAAAATACAGTTACATTTTAAGACGGAGAGCTTACAAAATGCTAGTTATATTGTACAGCAAAGTGCAATAAACATACAAGATCATTATCAAACTTGGAGCAAGACTATGCCATATGATGTCTTCTTTTTATGGTGCCCGAAATATATGAATGGGTGTCGATAAGCAAACCCTTCAAGGGAAGACCTCATCCCAAAACTACCCTCATGGCGATGCTCCTTCCTCGTAACTACGAAAGAGCGCTGCATTTTGGTATAGCAAAGTCATAAATTTCTCCATCAGTTGGGGACCGAAAGAATGCCAGCGAAATTGTATAAAGATGGTGTCATATCTATAATCACCGTGACATTTTGACATGAAACATCTTTGAATCTAACCTTTTCGCCGCCATGATGTTTTTGTTATGACACAACGAGAATTGTCGTGATAGTTCGACGTGTCCAGTGTGCATGTTATAGCTGCAAAGGTTTAAACGATCAAAACATATTTCTGTAAATATGACGGCCAACATGCGCAAGACACATTAGAAAATGCTTCACAACAACGTACTATTTGCTCAGCCCCCCCCCCCCTCAACCACTAAACTGTAAAGTATGAAATGGTATGCACTAATCCACTTTGGTATTTTTCTCTCCATCATTGTAAATATGCTTTCACATGTTTGCATGTTTCCCTTTCTTACTCATACTTTACTTACTCATCTTCGGATTCCTCTATTGTTTTATCCCCATCCCTCCATGTTATCATTCTATGGATCTGGCATCCCCATAACATGTTCCTCTTACCAGAGAGAGATACTCTCTGCTCCCGAAAGTAGTGCAACTTTATATTGGTTTGTCCCCATACAGTGTACCAGCTCCAGGACGCTACAATGCACGACGATACAAATTACGCTTGTTTGTAGGTGGTGGCGGAGCTCGCTGACGAACAGCTGTTTTCTTGATTGATGACGAGAAAGATGAGGCCAGAGGAAGGGGGAGCAAACCAGAACAGACAAACTTCTTTCATTACCCCTCAATATAAAACATCTTTAACTACCTAGTCTACCTGCACTCAGACCCTGCGCTAAAATTTTATGTATGGTGGTTGCGTAATTAAAGGGATGGGTGTTTAATCCTTCCATAATCTCGATGTAGAGTGGCGGTTTCTTATGATTCTTGTAATTCTTTTAATTCAGGTATAGGTTTTGGCTATTTTCTTGTTTTTTTCACAAGAAAACAACCCCCACAAATGGTCAGCTGATTGAATAATTAGTGACCAAATGGACAGATTAGTACAAATTAACATAAAGGTGGTTGGGAGCGAACAACGCTGGAGATTGATAATTTACACCGAGACGTATAGTGACCCTCTTTGACGTGTGATAATCATGATTATAATAATGATAATGATAATAGTAACAATAGTAGTGATGATGAAAATGATAATAATAATAATAACGAAATCGATTTATATAGCACAACTAATATATGAATTTTCGCTTTGATGAAAAACTCGTAAGAGTAGTAGTGCTACATTAGGGATTCTTAACTAACATTTTTAAAGCTTTCTGAAAACAAATCGGGCTCAAAAACTTTGAAAACTGCCACAGATTTGGCTTTTCTAATGTCAAGTCCCCTTTTTGAAAAGTCTCTTTAATGTATAGGCCTTCTACCACTCGTATGCAATGATGTAACCCAACGTTGGCCCCGTACCCTTCATCATCATCATCATCATCATCTGGCGAGACAGCATAGCAACGAGAGCAACCAACCCGTCACGCTTGCTCTCTGGAAGTCGTCCAACCAACTGATGCGTGCCAACGAGATAACTAGTGGTTATAGCTAGGCGACACTTGTTGGGTAGCATGATAAATAGAAAAATAGAAATGGTTAGCCTTTACAGGTAGGTTTTCCTCCAAGGATGCCTAATTGGTTCAGTTTTTTTCTTGGGCGCGTACCCCGAGCCCTTCCGTGTGTTTGTAGAGCACTTATTACAACGAATTTGCCTACCATCGTCACATTATGCTATGGTCGTCAATCGTATTATTTATGCAGTCGTTTAAATTTGATGAAACCTTGAGGGATGTGTTTTGAACTATTTGTTTTAAAGGGACTTCAGATATGCCAAGGTGATAGAATTATATTGCGTTTTTTAGTAGAGACATTGAAAATAAGGGTTAACAGCGTAAAGCATGAACAAATATAGAGAGAACATACTTTGAACATGAAGATTATCAAATAAATGACTAAAAAGATACCGCAATAGCCATTGACATTTTCAAGGGAAAGACAGAAAAAAGGGCAACATTCAAAATCAGTCCACTGCCTCCTTGATCGTTAACTATGTCAAGACCGTAAAACATCAGTTTTGAGGAGAAGACGACAAATGGAAGAAAAATAAAATACGATCTGACGATGGGGATGTGAGAGAATGTTAACGAAAATAACTTTGCTATCACAGAAAATAGCACAGACATTGGCGAACATTTTCAGGGCCAGATGATTTTCGACCATCCCCACGATCACCGTACCACCCTCCATGCAAAAACCAAAGCACGCACGTGCACGCGACCGCAAATCCATTTTGTTTCGAAACGTGAATAATGTCCACAGATGCAAGACTCAGACCACGCCTGTCTTCGACCAATAATTCTACCTGACAACAATTGGAGACGGTGAAATTAGAAGAAATGAAAATCAGACACAACTGTTCGCCCTGTATAAGAATGTTACGCCACCACAAGTTGCAGATCTATCTCAATGAATCAATCGTTAGCCAGGATATTTGTGAAGTCATTTTTAGAATAAGTGTTCACTAAAAGAGTTTGTAAACAAGAAAATATCAAAAGCTATTTAAGATGGATTCGAATGACTGCAAACATAATGTGATATTAGCAATAAAGCATTGTATTATTCTAATTTTATAAAATGATAGGTTTATTCAAGTTTTTGTAAGCATAGTACGGACAATGAAAGGCTTTTATTTGATTTGTTTAATTTGTTTAATTTATTTCTATTTCTCTGTGTGTGTTGAATCAAACATTGGACTCCGTTTGAACTTTTAAAAAGCCGGTGACGAGGAAAAGTCGCAAAAGTGCATTCTCTGTCGTCAGTAGCGGGGTTATTCATCTGCGTCAAAATAGAAAACTTGTTTTTCATATTTCCATACACATGTAGCCAAGGTTAGCCGGGGGACAAACGGCAAATTGTGTGTGGAAGAATGCGTCAAAATTGAACATCCGGAATTCCACTCAATTCTGCACTCGAACTTCCAAACGTGTCGATTTTATTAGCAACTGTTACCGAACGAGCCTGCCCCGTCCGCGAAACTCATCAACCCCACATGTCTAATAAGCACGACCTTAATGAAACATTTCCGATTGGGGACAGGATTGGAGGGATCCTCTAGGACCCAACAAAGGCCAAGTTGTTGAAAATGGAGCCGCAGAAAGAGCCT